CCTGTTGAATTTTTTAAAATGAAAAAAAAATATATAGTTATGTCATGGTTGTATGCACTTTCATAATAACACAAATTGTTAAATCTATTTCAAAAATAGTTATTACATTTCCCGTTACGCGATAGTCTAACGTTATTCGTAAGTCATGAAATCAAAGTAGGATCTTGAATTAAAAGTCATCACGTGTGAACGTGCTGTTTAATTCGGAGTGAAGTAAATAATTAAAGAGCTATGTTTTTTTTCACTTCCATACTAAAACAACTTACTAAAGCTATTTCAAATATAACAATATAGATTGAAATTTGCATTGTGCGATAGTCTAACGTTATTCGTATGTCATGAATTAAAAAATGTTCAGAAATTAAAAAAAAATCTGTAAAAATTTGACAATTTATTGAAATGTTTTGGTTAAAATTCCCACTTACATATGCAGAAAGAAATCAATATAATTATAAAAATTTAGAAATATTGTTATAAATATACTTACAAAAATCTAGAAATAATCTTATAAAAATCTATAAATATTTTTATAAAATTCTAGATGTTTTTATTAACACTTAATTCTTTTCACATTTTGCGTTTAAGTCAATAAATCTAAAAGTTTTTAGAAGAAAAGATATTTTCTGTTAAACGAATAGATAAAACCTTATAGACAAAAAAAATATTTCTTTTCAAGCATCTTACAGAAAAACAACATAAACAAGGGTAAAAATTCTTTAAGACAATATAAATAATTCATATTTCATATGCATAGTATCTTGCAGAAGTGAATTTTTTAAAAGTGAAAAAATATAGTTATAAAAAAAACTGAAAACAACTCTGTAATTTCAAGCTAACATGTTTAAACATACTATTTAACTCGGTCTGAAATATATAATAAAAGTTCGCTGTTGTATGTATTTTCATAAAACCACGTTTAAATCTATTGCAAAAATAGTTATTGCATTTTATTATAGTCTACAGTGATTTGTAAGTCATGAACCAAAGTAGGATCTTCAATGTCAAGTTATCAACTGTGAACACACTAATTAATTCGAATTGAAATAAATAATGAAGGATCGCAGCATTGTATGTACTTTCATAGTAACACAAATTGTTAAATCAATTGCTAATTTTTTTTTCTAATGTAGCTGACAAACACTTAGACAGTTGTCTTTGATGACTTAAGGCAAATGCTGCACTGACGTTACTCATTTAGCACTACCCAGGAGGAGCGCGTAGCTTGAAAACAAGCCACGGACGCGGAGTAACACTACCCCCGCAACGCTCTACGATCCTGTTAGACCGGGACCTACGGTATAAAGTGCATTCCGAACCACTACAAACACCCATGGCCGGACTCGAACCTGAAACCTGTGGTACCGAGTCACTCGGCCATCGTGTTTTGAGGGCGTTTGGGATGTTCAGCATCTTGCCTCGAGAGTCGGACGACATGGTGGAAGTTTTCCGAGTTTTCGCCGATACGTTACGCAAATGCGGGGTAGCTTCCTCTAAAATTCCTCCCTCCTTTGGGCGTGAGCTTTGTCGGTTGAGGTGGATGACAACCAGAGGGCTCTTCTTCTTCAACGCGTTTTCTGCCTTCGTTGAACTTTTTATACCACTTCTAAACATTTCTTTTCGTTATAGGAATGTTCACCAAATTCCTTCGGCAACATTCTATACATTTCCACAAACAAAATAGCCAACGGCCGTACCATGCTGAATATACCGGTTCTCGTTAGATCACCGAAGTTAAGCATCATTGGGCGCGGTCAGTACTCGTGGGTGACCACCTGGGAACACCGCGTGCCGTTGGCAAATTTGGGACCTGAATGGCCGAGTGTTCGCTCTGACAGGTTTCGGGTTCGAATTTTCCGGCGGTGCCATGGATGTTTAGTGGTTCGGAATCCACTTTAAGCCGTAGGTCCCTGTCTTCTATGACTGTAAGAGCGTCACGGAGCAAAAGTCAGGCTTCTACCTACGGGTGCTCCATCACAACAGAAGCTGCTTCCTTCCCCTTCAATCATGAGTCCATATGGGCTTGTGGGCTTGGCCAGCCAAGTGGGATAAGAAACAACAACAACAAACAAAATTGAATGCAAGTTCTTTGCTCAATTAATTCAGACATTTCGAAAACCGCCGGAATCAGTTTTAGCGTCTCACAAAGCCAAGCGTAACTCAAACACTCATGAATATTTTGACGTCAAACTCACACAGATGTCAAGGGCAGTGCCAGCAACCTAAAAATGAAAAAAAAAAAATTTAAATTCCATAAGCCCCGGGAATTTTAAATTGAAAATTGTCTTACTTTTTAGACACAGTACTAAAACTAATTTAACAAGGCGTTGACGTTTCTTAATAGTATTTAAATGTAAGACATGTTCTCATTTATACTACTGCCAGAAAAAAACCCGCATTATTTTATATGAAATAGATCATACGCAAAGTGGAATCTTTTACAGGTCTATTTATAGCTAAAAACACACATTTTATTTAAAATCAACATTTAATTAACCTACCCTATTTGCAAAGCAACGAATTTTGAGGACGAACGCTGTTTACTCTAATGCTTTACATGCCGAAAGAAAAATAACTTAAAATTAAAAAAAAAAATTTCATTTATTAAAAGATTTTTAAAATTTAAAATTAAAAAGAATTTTAAAATTTAAATGCTAAGGATCCTTAAAGAAATGTTCATATTAAATCTAACAAACACCTAAAATTTTTATTTAAGGAACAAATGATATGTATTGGTATCCATCTATTGGTAGATACATGCAACTTAAATCTAAAAAGAATAATTAATTAAACACTTAATTAATGAATTAATATTTGAAAAATCTGTTTTAACATTCAGTGTCATCCACTACAAATTCAAAAAAATGTGTTTGAACTTGAGTAGGTGAATAAAAAGTGATTTATTAACGATTGAAAATTTTAACAAGATATATATAGGGAGAGTGTGAACTAATAGAAGGAATTGAAATGAACAAAATAATTTTGAAGTAAATCAGAGTAATATTTAGGATTAATTCCAATGCAACATTTGTGCGGTTTTAGTTAATTAAAATCGTGGTAATGAAAATAAACGTTGTAATTAACTTAATTAAAAGGTAGTAAATGAAAATTAAAATTTTATGACCACAGAAGCGAAAGTTCTAATGAAATTTAATGTATAAAGCAGAATAAATTTAGGAAAAGCAAACAAGCTTTGCGAATTAAACTTAATCTTCATGATTATAACAATATAGCTACACTGAATAATTCTGTAAATATAATGTTAAGGAAAAATATACTGTAAGATTAATTTCTATAAAATCTCATTACTTTTGACATCAAAAATATATTGATAGAGTGTAAATATTTTATTTTACTATAGCACAAGATATTTACTTAATCAATAGAAAGTGCAGACTTTTTTAAAGAGGATATGCAATTAATGAATAAAATAGTAGATAAATAAAAAAATTTTCTTTATTTTTATGTATAAATTTATTTAAAGTACATAAAATAAACTCAAAAATAAATAATTAAGTAACTTATTATAAATAGCCGGCTAATAAAATTTCAGTGCATTGAAAGTGTAGAAAATACCTGAAATTTTCAAGGTCTGAATTAAATAAATATTAAAAAATAATTTATTTTTATGGAGTGTAAATTTATTTTAAGTACATAAAATATGCTCAAAAATAAATAATTAAATAAATTATAATAAACAGCCCGCTAATAAAATTTCAGTGTATTGAAAGTGTAGAAAATACCTGAAATTTTCAAGTTCTGAATTTTGCTTTCAAAGATATAAAATTGTAGGGTCTGATGGCCGAGTGACTAGCGTTCTGGAGTGCTGAGATAGGTTTCGGATTCGAATTCCGGTGGTGCCATATGTGTTTGTAATAGTTCGAATCCACTTTAAACCGTATCTCCCGGTCTAACATATCCCTCGGTCTGCATAGCGTTAGGCGTAGGGTTGACAGCCCTAACCTTTAAAATGAAAATCATCCTCTGTCACGAAATCTGTCCGTAGGCAAACGGCTTTGCCCCACCGAGGGACTGCTGCACCACTGATGATGATGATATGTAAAATTATTGCCGTTTTAAAATTGATAAAGAAAAACCGATTTATGTAAACCTACATTTTTGACAACCGAGTAATCTTAGAACAAGTAATAAAAAAAAAAACTTGTAAAGTCAATTCCTACTTTTTTTTCACTCTATTGCAGAAATTCCTTTATAAATAATTTTCATTCATTTTTTTAAGTTTATCTGGCGCCATCTATTGGTAGATATATGCAACTTAAATCTAAAAAAAACTCAAATTAATGAATTAAATTCAATGAATGAATTAAAATTTGCAAAAACTGTATTCACATCCAGTATCATCCCCTGCAAGTTAAAAAAAAATGTATTTGAACTTGAGTGGATGAATAAAAAGTGTTTTATTAACGGTTGCAAATTTGAACAAGATATATATAGGGAGAGTGTGAGCTAATTGAAGGAATTGAAAAAAAGTAGGGATATTGGAGTGGAAGGAAAAGCGTTTTATTTGTTTTTATAACCTTTTATTAGCTGTAAAGTTATAGAAGGAAATGAAGTTGCCAGTTTCAGAACACAGCTCTGTAAAGTTCTCATTTTTACGGCAAATACTGTCATCATTTGAAAGTGTATGATCATTGCGTCTATTGGTAAGTCTCGTGACAAGGTAAAACGTCACGCAAATAGCCAGAGCAATAGGCATGTAGAAGGCCTCTTAAAACGACTACCTTCTTTGAACTGTTTATACCACTTGTAAACATTTCTTTCCTATATCGGAATGCTCAACAAATGCCTTCTGCAACATTCTATACGTTTCCGCAAACAAAATTGAATGCAAGTTCTTTGCTCAATTAATTCAGACATTTCAAAAATCGTCGGAATCAGTTTCAGAGTCTCACAAAGACAAGCGTAACTCAAACATTAATAAATACGTGACGTCAAATTTCACAGATGTCAAGGACAGTGCCAGCAACCTAAAAAAGAAAAAAAATGGAAATTTCATAAGACCCGTGTATTTAAAATTGAAAATAGGTCCAACTTTTTGGACACAATAGTATACAATTCAAATTTGCGATATATTGAAGGCAAGTTTAAATTTAACAATAGTTTTTTAATATTGCTGTTATGCATTTTGTTCTTGCATTAAATTCTAAATTTGATGTGTAATCTGTATATCGGCACAACCATTTATATTTTTATTGTTTTTTTTTTTTTTTTTTTTGTATTTTGTGGAGTAACAAAAAATTATTATTTCTAGTTTATCTAAAATTTTAATAATAATTAATTAATTTTAGATTAAAATGATACTAATTCAAATAAGTGATAGGATGAATGCAAGTCTAAATTTAACAATAGTGGTGTTTCATCAAAGAGGATAAATTTCAAGAAAAAACCATAGAATAGTTTAATGATAAGAAATTGTTTAATGTATTAAGCTATCTAAACTTGTGAGTTCCTAAAAGACACATTTCCTTACACTTTCGACATAGAAAAAAGTTCATGTACGCTATTTTTGGATGTTAAATTTGATTAATCTCGTAAATGAGCGACCAGGTCTCCCGTAGGTGCAATAACAATAAAACAACAGAGGATGACTGTCAAATTAGTGACAATTGAGGTCAGAATAAATCTTTATTAACTGGAAGAAGAACCTTCTTTTTTATCCCTAGGTAACTTGTATTTATGTTGCTAGTATGAGAAATTGTAACAAATTTTGTTATGACAATTATTTCCAACATAGACTAACTCTTTTTTAGCACTTGATTTATTAACATTGTTTCTTGCTAATTCTTTCTCACTTTCTGTTTGTATTATATACATACATACATACTTGCGTCCAGATAGTAAGACCAATTATATTTTTTTTTTTTTCAAAAACTCTTTATTTATTATTTTATCAAATTTATTTCATTGACTTCAAAGTAATCCCTTCCGGACACAATGCATTTATGTCAACTTTTTTTACAATCCTCAATGCATGTAAAAAGTCATCGGCAGGGATGGCCTTCAAAGCGCTTGGCGATTCACATTGAATCTCTTCAATCGACTCAAAACGGTGTCCCCGGAGTGGTCTTTGGAGTTCAGGGAATAGCCAGAATTCGCACAGCGTGAATACGGTGGTTGTGGAACTATATGGGTTTCATTTTTGGCGAAAAGTCACGAAGAAGCAATGCAGTGAGAGCTGGCGCATTCAGTGTTTTCGGTATCAATCGTGATTTGACGCGTTTGAGGGTCAAAATAAAATTGACCGTTCCTTTTGAAATTCCAACATCATCAGCAATGTCTCTAATTATAAATCGACGGATTGCAAGCACCAAATCTTTAATTTGTTGGACGTGAACTTCGTCGGTTGAGGTGGATGGTCGACCAGAGGGCTCTTCGTCTTCAACGCGTTCTCGGCCTTCTTTGAACTGTTTATACCACTTCTACACATCACTTTCCGATATAGGAATGCTCACCGAGTACCTTCTACAACATTCTATACGTTTCCGCATAGAACAAAATTGAATGCAAGTTCTTTGCTCCATTAATTCAGATAGTTTAAAAATCGCCGGAATCAGTTTTAACGTCTCACAAAGCCAAGCATAACTCAAACACTCATGAATATTTTGACGTGAAATTTCACACAAATGTCAAGGACCGTACCAGCAACCAAAAAAAGAAAAAAAAATTGAAATTCCACAAGAATCCGGGAAGTTTAAATTGAAAATTGGTCTTACTTTATGGACACAGTTGTATGTTAGCTAAATGTTAAACTGAAGCCTCACTGCATCGTTAAAAT